CATTTACAGAATACGTGACTGTAAGTAACGGTACAGTATGCGTAACGTTTTTTCAATCTGAACCATGGGATATTTTTTGAAATTGTATTTAATACAGTTATTCTTTTGATCATTATTTCAGAAAATTATACAGAATAGTGATTGCTCTGCGATGGGTTTGAATACTTTTCGCTGTCGATCCAACGAGCGAAAACGTGCAAGTGTGATAAGATATATCAATCTCATTTTTTGTGTGTAATGTTTTAGTTTTAGACAACGTGATATTTATTCCAACCGACATCTATGAACTCGAATTCCTATTAAGTATTCCTGTACGCTTACTTTTTTGTGGAAAACTCGTATTTGCGAAATTTAATATGGAAAAATTCATACAGAAAAAATGGAAATCAATGGAATGGGATTTTTAATATATTTTGTAAACTATTTATTATTAACTAATATCGTTATTCAGATATGAAGATGAGATTTTTTGTTTTGTATCTTCAAGTATCATTGTGATAAAAATCTGTTTCATCTTGCTCGTAAAGAAAACGTGATTCAGTGATCGTATTAATTTCTCTGGCCCCGTCTCTAACGTTTATCGGTCTCTACTCCCCCGTTAACGATGTGTAATTCCCGAGGCTGGAACTTATCGGCGATGATGAATTATTTCTTTTGAATCTTCAAATTGGTAGCCCAACTTTCTCTTAATCGTGCCTATATCATTATAGCCTAATACTTGTTCTTGGGATTATAAATGACTATGGAAGCTTTAACAGATCACCGCGGATCCAGTAAGATCAGCTATCAGCAGTGGGGCATCCAGATCCACCACTTTATCTGTCGCGGATTCTGAAATGTTAACGAACGCCGTGTAAACGACCTGTCGGTTATTCCTCCTGTCTGCGCTGGCATTGCCCAACGCCGCTGTGGGCGCTCTCTCCGTCACCGCCTCCGGCGCGCTGGGCGGGTTGGCCGCGCCCGCGGGCGGGCGCCGGCCGCCGCGCGGAGATGCGCCGAGATAGCCGCTGCCTACACGCGTTCGCGCCGCCGATACGCACGTCGGAAGAGTAACGGCCTCTGCGAGACCAACAACTTCATCATCGAAACCACTTCGCCAGCCACTCCGAGCGTGATAAGACTGCACGGATTCGTGTAATGCAGGGTCTCGAGTGAACATGATTAGCTTTAGTGTAAATAATGTGAATAAAAATTACGCCAGGTCTGTCAGAACTTCTTTCAGTCCTTCTAAGTAGTAATTTATTACCCTTGCCGTATATTTTAAGCCTATGGAACGATCGATATCAAACTGATTTATAGGTAGAGCATCACATTTCTGCCAAAATAATTGTTTCATACATTTCTTTTTCTACATGCGTACAATTCTGTGTGATTGTGATACTTAAAAAATACCATTACACCTGTCATTACGCCCATATTTAAAAAATCACTACTTAAAAAATGTGTACGAACAACTTCTTTTGTAGATATCTGAGTTGGTGCTTCGATACACGACACGAACAAAGTCATCCATTTTATTTATATGCACTTTTACTAAAAATTGGAACACTTTAATACGACATTCCAATGAAATTGCTGTTTCAAAGTGTGCCGGAGAAGAGTTTAGGACGATTAAATACCTGTACAGTATTTGAGCAACTGCGAGTGTGCGGATGTTCGGATGTGCAGTTCCGTACACTCATACTACTCACGTCTATACTACTTCCCGTGAACCAATCGAGACATATTGGACGGGTCTCGGTCTCCTGATGGGGAACTGATAATTTGTTTTAGAAGGTCAGGAGATTCAAAGAAATTTCCAAAACACTGTTTCGCGTGTTTTGGCGCTGCTATCTGCCGGGAATTAAACCAACGCCATCCATATAGATCTATGTAGGTGGCGTTGATTAAACTCCACTACCCAAAGTCATTTTTCGCTCAATGCGCCATAATTTTCTTTCACGACATTGGCATATTTTATTTTTATTTTTATCGGTAGGCTTTATACCATATTTAAAAAAAGTATTTCAAAAACCTACGAACAGTATTGCCTTGAAGGTTATTAAATTTGGAGAAGAATTTGAAGTTAATGGGGAGAAAAAAAAATTGTGAGTAATGTTAGAGAATGAATGAACGTTCTAACGGTCGACACGTTTACGTTCCTAAGTGTATAAATACCGTTTGCTGTCAAATGAATGTGACCCACAACTTATTCTTATTAAACCTAACTAATATCTTATTGACATAAATACAAAACTGTCGCCATTTACTGTTTATTTAGATTCGCATACAAAACTATTAATAAAGCAATTGCAACAGCCGAAGTGAACACAACTTGGACTGATATTGTAGAGTTTTAATCTCTTCCAAAATTAGGGAAGAAAAATTTGGAGATGTTAAGCAAATCAGAGAAAGGATCAAATGTAGATGTAGAAGATTTTGCGACAGAATTTTCGGAACTTATTGAGAATGATCTTATATTAGAATTAGAAAATAACTGTGAACAGTGGTGATCTTTGAATTAGAAGAACAGTGGTGATCTTAGAATAAGAGAATAACCCAGTAGGTGATCTTTGTGCATTATTGTGTATATTAGCAAAAATCGTAAAAATGTAGCTGTACTAAACTAACTGTTCGCATCATCAATACCTTCAAGTATTTTGTACGATAATTATAATTTTAAAATTGGAATTTTACCAGTTCATATCCCGTATGGAGATATTGTAACATACAAAGCCATTGAAAGTCGAAAATTTTTGAAGGAGAAAATAACATTATCAGCTACTACGATTCTTTGGTAAATCCAACCAAGCATGAAAGAAATGAAAAATGAAAAAAATTTCCAACACATGAAAATATTTTTAAAACAGTTTACAGCGTCAGCGACGCTCCATTCAACTAGTAATCAGATATTTGCATTTCTACGCAATTTTTTCCTTTGTATTTTATTTTCGTCAAACACGATCCTCTTTAACGGCAAATCCCAAACCCCTAACTCGTGTGAGTTTTTCGGAGAATTCACCTACGGATTTAATCTGTGAGATTTAAATCCCAGAGAATGAAGAGACGCGATATTTAACAGGTAACACTACAAATACACGAGATTTTTTATTCAATTATATTAAACGTGCTATTCATGAAAGTTCGCCCTCTTTCACACCGCACTGGTGAGCGGTTATTACTATTTTAAAAGTACCTATTTCACGACCATCACCAGTGCTTCCCGTAGCCGTTCTGATCGTGGCGCGCCAACAGCCGCATTCCGGAACCGGGTCTTTGCCTCCGCCGCCGCCGCCGCCGCCGCCGCGGGCGCCGCGCGCAGAGCAGCGGATAGCCGTGAAATTAGCCGCTGCAGGAATGACAATCGGGCGAAAATGAGGGCGAGACGTCGTTCCCCGCCGCCGTGTCCGGCCGCTAGGCGCGCTCCGTTAGGCCGAGAGGCGGGATTTGCCGAAGGAGTGTCGTGGAGACGCAACGAAAGAACCTTACATGCCACTCCTATAAACGGTCCCTCATAGGAAGGTGGAGAGGCACTCAAGTTTTAGGATGTGCGAGATAATTGATCTCTGCATCTGACCTCAGAGAAGTTGGAGTTAACACAACGGAAATTTGAGAGACTAGAAATTAGGAAATGGTAAGCCACTCAAGGAAAATTGAGATATTTGTCTTAGTCGTTTCTCGTAATGATTAGCAAGCCACGAGCGAAGTAGTGTAATAACATTCAGTAAGTATGCAATATGGTATTTATATAATATATTGTTTATGCTGATCGCCGGACTTCTAGAATTCTTTGAACTTTCAATTGCTATCTTTTAAGAGCCACTTCAGATGGCTTACCATTATTTAATCCCAAGCATTTTATTTCTTCGCTGTGTATTGCGTTATGTATTCCATTTGTGGTAATTGCGTTTAGCATTCGTCTCCACGTCTGTATTCCATACATTATTTTGTGTAATTTATCGTTGCGAGACAAATAAATCAAGTTAATTGATCAGGTCTGTCAAAGGATCAAAATCATTGTTTAGGAAGGTCGGTCAGTGCTCTAGAATACGCTGCATTGCAATGTTGCAACGTTAGCTACCCGAAAAATCTCGTTCAGTTTCATTTGAATAATATCTAAACTTGCAATTTGTAAGTTATTATTTTGACTTTCTCTTCTATAACTGAGTGAATGCGATTGAAACATATTTTCTAGACTGGACATTAGGACGCGAGCTACCTTTCATTTGGCATGTCACGTCTGACTGACACTGAAAACTAAGGAGCATTCGGGGAGAGTGGGGGACTTGCTTTAATCGAAGGTTCAAAGTTTATCTCTTCCTGGTTTATTGAAACGTTAAACGGCGAAGCCACCTCCTCCAAGGCGGCAATGTCGCAGCCAGAACATACCACTGCTTGTGTGAGGAGTGGGCCGTGGAGTCCAGCGCGGTGGCGCCTGGCCTGTTCGCGAGAACGCGAGGTCAGCATGGCGCCCAGCAGCGCTCAGCCGCGCCGCCGCCGCCACCGCCTACGGGTGGCTTTCGAACGAAGCGGCGGCGCGAAGGAAAGGCGCTAACGGCGCGGCGCCGGCGGCCGCTCAGCTCGCCGCCCACCCACGCGCCACCACAGCCCGCACAGCCCGCAAAGCCTCTCTGCACGGCATGCCGCATCTGAAGCAAAACTAGCTAAATACGCGTGTTCTCGAGATGCGGTAGTTGCTTCTTGAAAACTTACAACGAAATTGCTCGGGTAGTTCAAGAGGGTAGCGGAAGTGAAAAATATGAATAGTTACTTAATCTCTTTGGGAGGCTAGAGAACAACAAGAAATATTTGAAAATATAAATATTTTAAAATATGAACAAGTTTTTGATTGAAATATAAAATGTTGGTCCAAAAATGTGTATTACAATTTTAATTCTATTATAAAACACGAAAATGTACCATTTGTGAGGGCGCTATTAATTATTGTCATGATGTTGATATTAGCTTAACTAATATTCTTATTTATTAATTCTACAAATATTTTTTTGTATCTTTTGCAGGTAAGTTTTCTGCTCCATGTTCTTCTATTTTGAAGATGAGACAGCCGTCTCGGTAAGTGCATTTGCTAATTTGGAGGTCATTGGTTTCTTCAAGAATTGGTTTGTGGCTGATAAGGTCGTTTAATAAGTTTTTTATTTGAATTATTCTGTTTCTGTGCATTTGTGAACACACGGGAACACACTTTTCTTTTATTACCAGAAATTTGAAAAATGTGTGAATGCAAATATCTACCCAATTCAAACAGAAATAAATATGTCAGCTCACGCAAAGGAAATAGAAAGTGAGTCGTTAGGTACACTGAGAATATTTGCAATTATGAAGTGGTTCCAGAAGTAAGAGAAATAATTATGGTAATTTTTAATGTTCATAATAATTTATTTCATTCAACTTATCAAATATTGGATTGTAATATACGTTCGCAAATCGATTCAATATACGTCTTACAACGCCACGAAATTCAGGGAAATACATAGCTCGATTATGATGTTCAACTTGGAAGATATTGAATCCTCTACGGACATCCTTTCTCGGAAGCCATGGTTATAGACGGCCGTCGCCACCGAAGCTGTGTCAAACGCCCTCGTCACTGCCGCTGCTGCCGCCGCAGCGTGTCGGACAATGGAGAAAGTGGCCACGACGTCGGCGGCGGCGGCGACGACAGAAATGTCAACACCTGTCGGTAATGGCTGTCGATACTCGCCTGACACGTGTCGCGCGAGAACGCGCGACGCCTGTCGCAGGGAGACCAAATCGGGGACGTCAGCGCCACAATGCCCTGGACACTGCGCTTAAGCATGCTGCGATGGCCTGTGGTCGTGCTTGAAAGTGAGGGAATTAGAAGAAGATAGAGTTCGACACGTTGCCATAAAATGTACGCATCTGGTAAGAAGTCTTGCTCGAGACAGAAATGAAACTACCGCTCCACGGAAACCTATTTGCTTTCGCATTTTAATGTTCATACTAGCATTGTTGCTGCAACTAAATAACCATATTTCAGCTTCACAGTAGTACAGTTCTGTAGCAGTATAGTATAGTACTATTTCATTTGCTACTTCACTTTTATAATACTCTATTGCAATTGCTATTTGAAAAAAAATGTGAAATATTTCGCATGCAATTCTGTTGGTTCTGTGTAACCTGTTCTTTCCCATGCCTGACGATGTCCTTTTTCACATATTGTTTTACGTGATTCCAATAGCCAAAAAAGAATTAAAAATAATTCGGAATTGACATTATCAAGACATAGTTTTGGTAGCCAGGCATCTAGCGAGGTCGGAATTTCTGGCGTAGCACGGGTGCCACCCGCAACGCCAGCAGATGATGAAGTGGCGTTTAATGCGATCGCGCCATGCGCCCGACGCCGGCGCCCGACGTGAATTCCTCTCGTTGCCCGTGATGAATGGGTCGGTTGAACGCCGCGATAGTGACATCTATTAAACTTCATTTCATGCTGCTCCTGTTCACTGTTCTTTCCAATTGCGAGTTCATACTTTGTAAATCAAATGCTGTCATTTGGAGTACATCTTATTTGCGTATGGTAATGAAAAAGAAATGGAAAAACATGTTTGACCTCGAAATAGTGACTGTGCTCTAATGATCCCAACGACGAGGCAGAATATTAAGTATTCGAATGTCATTATAGAAAATTTATTTGATATTGTAATCGTACGCATTGCACATTAGGCTTGTTTGTGTTGTATATCGTTGAATACTATTAAAAAGTCGACGGCATATCAAATAAGTTTTATTTATATTTTGTTTTTATTAATATTCAAATATATTCACATGTAATTTCAAAGTATATTTTCCCCTTCAACAGATTGTCCTAAAATGTGTGAAGACGAAAAGTTACCTTACCAGCTCTCGACCCCATATGTAGATCTCGCGCGGGCCGGAAGAGAACACACGTTCCTGTTGGGGCCGGCTGGCGCGGCGCGCTGGATAGAGAGGTTCAGAGGTCGGCTCGTTAAGTTTCGAATCACGCCGCGGCAATCCCTCGCTAACAAGGGCTCCCCGGGAATTAGGCCGCCGGCAGGGCGGCAGGGCGGTGGGCGAGGGGTTGAGGGGTTGAGGGATTGAGCCGGCGGCGAGCGGCCCCGTGCGGGTGGCGCCTCTTCATCAGCTAAGTCCTCGGGCCCGGCCGCCACGTTGGCTGCCCTGGCGGGGCTCCCCGGTGCGCCGTCGCCGCCGCCGCCGCCTGGGTTTTGTTTTGGGGCGCGGTAGGGGAGGAGGTGGGACAAAACAGGGGAGCCGTAGATCTGGCCGGCTGCTCGGCTGGACTTCGTCTTCGTCGAATAGAACGCTCTTTTGGACGCCGGGGAACGCTTAAGGTGTTCCCAAGTCAACAGGAAAACGGAGAGAGGGAAAAAAGAAACATATTCGTCTACAATTGATTTATTACATAAAATGCATTGGGAAAGTCTGCGAATATTACACGAAGAGCTTGAGATATTCTGGGATTTGGAAGAATAAAATTATTGTACAAGAAAGCAAAAGGTACATGTGTTGTACACTACCGTGTATTCAACTCAGCTTTATCAATCCATATCAAACATTTTGGATGAAACCGAAAATCGATAGGTTTTCAAAAGTATTTATCCCTTACTCTTTTATTCCATTCCATCATAGGTTGTTGTTTTTCTTCGTCGACGTCTCCATTTTCGTCTTCCTGTTCTTCTTTTTCTTCTCATCACATCAGCTTCGTTCATTCTTTTATTGTAATAAGCTTCTTTAAAATTGTATAGGGGTTCCTACTCGAGTACATGTGGCATAACTCGATTATCCTTGGGGACACTCGCCGAATGCAATCTTTTGTCCTCTCTCCGCCATTACCCTACACCTGCCTCCTGTCTGCTGGCAGAGATGCCTCTGCGCCTCCCAACTTTATCGCCGCCGATCGACGGCTTTGAAACAAAGCGAGTGCGGCGACGCCTCGCCTCCGCCTTTTCACGGGCGGCCCCGGCGGGACTCGACTCGCGGCTTCGCCACCTCGTCATCGAACGCGTTCCCAAGGCTGCTGCCTCTGCCTGGGCCGAATCGGCAGGCTCTGCGGAGTCTGTGCTGTTCCTATTGTTAATCGCGTGTCATTTATACACATTCTGTCGTAATGAAATGATATGTTTCAGCATTCAGGTTCAGTCCAAAATGACTTATTGAACACAAAGTTCCTCTCGGAATCATCAGTTTCGTCGGAAAGTACTCAATGAATTCTCTAGATTAAGATTAGATAACAACTACTCGGTATCATAGTATGATTCATGATTGTGATATTAATCATTGGGATCAAACTGATACGTTTCTACTTTGTACTATCTAAAACAAGCTTTAGAAGATAATTTTAATTGAACTATGTGTCACATGCAAAATATTAATAAATTTAAAAAAAAGATAACTATTTCTGATGCAACCGATCTCTAATAATTCATCAAATAAAATACGAAGAGCGTAAGGATGCAAAATGATAAACATTCATATTTACACAATTGAAAGCCAGGAATCGAAGTCAGAAAATAATATTTTGCATTTCTTTCACGCTGAGAAAGCTGCATATTTAGTGTTCGCAAGCCTTTAAAAATTACAACATAATACCCAAATACTGTCTTTCTGCTCTAGCAGATGTTCAAAGGTCCCACAGAATTTAGTCCGCGGATGTGGGTCGGATGGAGTCGTGCTGCCTCGCATCTAATTTTACGGGACAGAAAAGCGAAAATCATCCCACATAAGCTTTTTTCGCTAATATTCTTAAAACGTCTGCCTGAAACGCTCAGCCTTCCCTTGTTCCCATCGCATCGTTTGAGACGCTATTCCAGACCCAGATTTATAGCCTTGGAGTGCAGCTGCAGTGTAATGAATGAATGCCCATTTGTAGCTCCTCCGTGTCAACACGGCGCATAACGAACGCGTTTTGATATCTAAATCCATTGATCACATCTGAATACCAAGCGGACGTACGATTTGTTTTAAATACAATGCAGCGTAGTGCGGGCGCGGGCGCGTGCTGCATGCACTGGCCCGCCGCGGGCGCACCGTCTCCCGCGCCGCGCCGCGCCGCGCCTCACACGTGCCTTTGTCTCGGTGTTCTCGCCTATCTGGAGCAAGGAGGGGCCGGTGCACGCCCTTCTCCGCCTTCAGGTATTTAGCACGCGACGCCCTCCGCTGCGCGCCTCTTCCCTTTTTGGCTGCGGCTCGATGGTCTTCGCGTGTCTTGCTTCTCCGAGATATGACATCGAATACCTGATGTCTACCTTCTACATTTTTAATAACGTAGAATTTCTATCAGCATTTCAAAGATTGCGAAGGTAACAAAAAATTTAACTGTCAAGTCTCTCGTAATGGATTTCATTATCTTGTATTAATTATCATACAAGTTCAGTAATTTTATAAAAACATTATTAATTACTGTTGTACTTTCAAACGAGTGAATGTATCTTTAACCTAACTCTGTGAGGGTCGTAACTCTGTTAGTACTCAAAATATCAAACTCAAAAGATACTTTTGAAGTCTTAAAATGATGTTCTAAGGAAATTAGTAAAGGAAGAAATAAAACTACAAATTTATTTATTCCAGAAAAATTGCGTCCCGTTTTTTCGAACAACTGCCATTTCCACGATGTATTGATATTAGAAATTGTATCTGCACAGAAAATGTTTTTGAAAGGATCGATAATATGTTATTAACGCTAATAATTGTTTGTATTATTTACGTTTATATATTCAAAATTAAATTGAAACTTATACAAATAAGTTCATTTTTGGAACTATCGAAGTGTGCGAATACTCGAATTGTGTGAATTTGGATCTATCGAACAATGTTAATAAAGGGCACCTTACTATGCTTACAAAACCTTCTAGTTTTCGTTTCACACTCAGGGAAATTTTGTTTGTCAATTCGTAATTGGAACCGCAAATTAGTTTCGTCCATCAAACCTCGCGTCAGCATTGATTCGGCTTCTGTTGGCCATGCTTTTCATTGGTACAGGTTTTCTGGGTGAAAAGTCTGCTTCGAAAGGTAGGAGGTAACTATTCTTCTCCTCGTATACCATTACAACACGATAAATAATAAATCCTGCAAATCACGTGTTAATTTAAATTCTAAAATA